ATATGTTCTTATTTTGGAAGATATTAGGGAAAAAAAAAAAATTTAATGGACCCTTTACTGGCTTATGCTAGTGGAGCTGTTAATTAATTAAATAACTGTGTGTGAATGGCATCCGTTGGGAAAGAGCCTCGCAGCTTCCAGATGCCAGTTATTGGCCCCATTACGGGCCTAAAACTATTACAGTAAATCATTACATGCTCCAGGATGAACTGGCACATGATTGCTGTGAGGAAGGATGGAGCTATTCTCGCTTGTGCCATTTTGTGCCAGTTTTTATCTAGTGAGATTAATTAGTACTTTTAGAAGTGCAAGTCAGAGCTGTAAAATATTAAAGACTATTCCATCCGTGGAAGGGAGAGCTGCTCAAGAAGGGCTTTGAAAGCTTTGGGGTGTTGATGGGTAGATAGGAGTTGGAAGAGATGAAGAGCCCATCTGATCTGGATTTTTTTAAAGGTCAAATTTACAGTTAGTGAGGCTGCAGCGAGTCCCCTTCGGGCGCTCTGGGAGTCCTCCGAGGACGACGTCAGGGTTAATGGCTAAAGCTCAGGTGCCAGGTAAGCAAGCAGTTTCTCAAACAAAAACCAACCATTTAAGGCAGTTATTTCAAATACAAAACCGACCAGAAAGGTTGATAAAAAAGGGTTATTGTATATCCTTTTAACCTACATCCTCTGCTGGGAGGGGAACATTTCCTGAGATTCAATGGCAGCCTAGAACCTATGACCTGGGCCTTTTTTTCCCTCTTTTTTAATTAATAAGCTGTAAGTTTTAACACCGGGCGATGACTATGGATCTCGCTGCCTTTTTAGAAATGGCTGTGAGAGAGAAAACCACTGAGCCACCTATGCCAGCCCTTACCTGGCCAGGCTGTCCTTCGAAAATCTTCTTGACTACTTTGTTTTAATTCCAAAAGCTGAACGCTGGAGGGGCACTCCCGGGGCTGCTTACACAGTTTCCCCAATAATTAGTTCTTAGATGCCTCGATCCATAGGCAGATCCTTCTGCGGAGGACCTATTCCACAGCTGGAAGTTCTCCCACAGCTGCCTGAGGCAGGCTAAGCACATGGGCCCTGAGATTTTTCCAGCCCTGACCACAAATAAACCTCTCGTGCCACTACAGACCTCCAAATCACAGCATAAGTCAACAGCGGCTGTCAGTACAGCCCTCTTTTCCTCTCCACTCGGTAGCAATTAGCTTTGTGTGTGCATGCTCTCTCTAGCCACTGCACCGATTTTTGCATGCCCTGTCCTTGGGATTTTGGGAAAGAAGCAGGAGAAAGGAAGCCAGATATATTCTACTAATAGGATGATCAAACAGTAAAATTGTGGATTTCAGCTTTCCACTTGGAGGAGTAATGGACTAATGTTAGAAATGTGGTTCTGTTGCATGTGGTCGGACAGACACAACTGGAGAAAAGCTTTGGGGATGGACGCAAAGTCCAGTCTGACTTTGTAAAGATGTATGCACACCCTTAACTTTAAACATAAATTTTCCCGTTGACTTCCCTGGAAGTGTTCATGTATTAAACATATGCATGAGCCTTTCTAGAAACAGGGAATATAAATGAGAGTACCAAAATAGTGAAGCAGAAATACTTTCTGTACAATGAAATAGGACAATTTAAAAGAGGTGTGCACATACGAGCTCCTAGTGATCCCTCTTTTGATGAAAAGGAGTCGATAAAATCGAGGCCGCGCTGTCAAAGGACAAGGCCTTACTGCTTATGTACACGAGGGTGTTTCCAGCTACCTGTAGTGCAGACTAGAATGTCGTTTGCATTCATTATGTTAATTAAGCAATTTACTGGAATTTAGCGTGCGGTGGATTGGCAGGAGGAACTTTAACTTGGGTTCTGTGGCTGAGGTCCCTTGCACTACATCGAGGACCCTGAGTCATGCCAGTGAAGCCGCATGCTTGGTCATGCATTTCTGGTGATAACTTGGGTGCAAAGTCCAACTTAAACAATGCAATTATGGCCCGACAAAGAGAATTGATCAAAATGATCAAGATCTACATAATTTACACCGTTTGCTATGGGCAAGATATGCAGAGGCTGGCGATAAGTAAGAAGTTATCATTCAAGGGGTAGCTTCTCCAAACTAGCAAGGCTTTTAAAATTAGTTATTAGTCTTTAATTTTATTTATATTTGCATGGGAAATCTTTCCATCTCTTTTGTCTGTATCTGCCCCTTCCCATTGTTTTAGGGCTACTTTTCTTGATAGGTTTGTTGTTTCGCTTATGTTGTAGTCATTAGCATTTAAATCAATAGGTTGCTCTGGAGTGCTTGTATTTGTGCTTAGATTTGTGGATGTGAATACAAACCTCCAGCAAATAAGCAATTTTATGACTTGAACTGGTGGTTGGAGATGGACCTAACCTACAGCACTGACCTACTCCATTTTGTGGCTCAAGGACACTCATTTATGCAAAGGTGCACTGTACTCAAGCCTTTTAAACCTGTGTTTGCTAAATCGTCTTAAAACAGACTTAAGCTTTGCTGTTGCCCAGCAGAAGTTTTGGCAAGCCGCAGGGTCGAGTATCTTTTACGTTTCCTTTCATGCGTTACACATGGATGCTTACTTTTGAACAAGGCCCTCAGGTATAAGACTACGAAAAGCCAGCTCCATGTTCAGGGGAACTAAGGGTTTTATCCCATTACATAGGACTATGGGATTTGGCATTCTTTATATCAAGACTATGTCCCAGTCTCTTTCTTCTTCTGTACTCAAAACCTAATGTCACCCTATACGGGATTATCAGCATCTGCTTTTGAGCATTGAAACCAGCAAAGTAGTGAGAAGGAGACCTGTGAGGAAACAAGGCAGGTCCTAAATGAGGTGAGGCTCCATCCTCTACTCCAGTCTCTACTTGTATCTGTTTTATTTTATAGTGGACTTCTTTTGGCACGAGGAGAGTCACAGCTCTGAACTTTGGTGTAGTGCTTCAGACTGTGAAGAAATCTGGCAGTGAAGACCACAGCGTAAGATAATCTGCCTTGCATTCAGTTCCCATTAAACTTAGCGGAGCTCGAGGGTTTCCCCAGTACTTTGGCTGTTTTGCTTTGTATGATGATGGCTTTCCTGGATGAAATGCTTTCTGTCCTATCTGTGTGTTGCTGTCCTTCACCCCAAGAATCATGGAGTCAGCTAAATGTATGTTTTAGCCTGGGAATGAGTTAGCTCTTTTGTTTTAGTACATCTTGCCCCATAATTACACTAAATGGTTTTTGGAAAGAGAAACTGAAAACCAACCTGGTTCCCAAGAATAATGGTTTTGGCTTCAAATAAGTGGGAGGACAATAGTGACACTGAGATGCTCTGAGCAGAGGTTTGAGTATTAGCCAGGCACCAGGCATATAAAGACTGGGAACTTAGGACATTTCAAACTTTAGTATTTTGTAATGTCTTATGAGGATAACACAAAGCATTTTCATTTGTGTTACCTTTATTTTACTATAAGCTAGACCTTGCTTTCAGAGAAAACAGATCCTAGGATCAAAAGAGAGAAAGAGGATCAGCCTTGGTGTTGTCTGTCTGCATGTTTCCATCTTCAGGCTGTAATTCAGTGCTGCTGGATATGTGAAAGTGCAAGTTCAGAAGGAATAGTTCAAAGTTTTATTCCTGGCTTTCAGACACTGCAGAATCCTGTTCTCTGTATAGCCAGTGTTCATTTAAATACTGGTCTGTCTATCTAGAGCTCCTTCTGCAGTGTCTCTTAGTACTCCCTCCTACTTCTGCCATTGCCAGTGTTACCTTTCATCAATCCAAGAGCAGAACAACCCTACCAGTACTGCGTAATTGCACGGTCCGAGCTGGAGTATGGAGTCAGTCCAGAAAATGGGCTCAGAGACTCTGTCCCTTTCTTTCCTTATGCCTCTCAAATACCATGTGGGTAGGAAACCAAACACAGTGTAGGACTTACCAGAAGAGGAAGTATTGGGAAATTTTGCTTCCTGGAAGAGATAGTAGTAGTGGCAATAAAACCCAAACAAACAAGAAAAGAAAGGGCTATTTTGAAATCTTGGCACTCTGCTATGCAGTTCTGACTTCTTAGTGTTCAGGTCGTTGCTGATATTTTTATGGTTAGGTAAAATGTCACTGGAACTGGTAAATATAGCCTCAGCCCTTCATTTAGAGTAGCAAAAACACTTAAGTATCTTTACAAAACAGAAGTAACTCCAAAGCAAAACATGGGCACAGGATCTCACCAAAACAGAGACGTGTGTAGAGCTGAGGTCCTGGGGGACTAAGCTATGGCACTTGGAGGAGCCACTGCCGTCATGTTGAGCAGTGTCCGCTAGGGATGTGACGGGTCTGCTCTTCCCAGGCCACGAAGGGTGGCTCTTCAAAGAGCCAGCACTGACCTCCCGGCCAGCCTTCCTCCTCTCGCGCCTTCGTGCTGGACATCTTCAGCCGAGGGCTGCAGGCCTCCATGCTCAATGCGCTTGTGTAGGCCATACCACTCAATGGGGAGGTTGTGTAGCGTCGCTCTGCAAGGCGTGTTGGGAGCAGGCTTGTCGAATAATCGTCCCTCCCTCAAAAAGGAGTATTTTGAATGCCTCCCTGAATTTTAAAGGCAGTAAGCCTCTTCCTTTAGGTGCGTGACCAGTCTGAACGCCTGCCTCTACTGGCTTATGCAGCTTCATTGCCCACACAGTTCGTCTGTATCATCTGCTTAGTGTCTTCATGAATTTTGTTAGCAGCACCCCTTTTTCTGATGGGTGAAAATACAAACATCTGTATAATTTCACAATATGTGACTTTATTGTCCAAAAAGTGCCAGTAATACCTATCGTAACTGAAGTGCAAGCAGTGGGAGTAGTCTCAGTGCAGAACTCCAAAGTTAGGGAGTTAAGTTAAGGGCCTGCAGCCCTCGGCTGAAGATGTCCAGCACGAAGGCGCGAGAGGAGGAAGGCTGGCCGGGAGGTCAGTGCTGGCTCTTTGAAGAGCCACCCTTCGTGGCCTGGGAAGAGCAGACCCGTCACATCCCTAGCGGACACTGCTCAACATGACGGCAGTGGCTCCTCCAAGTGCCATAGCTTAAGGGAAATTTAAGTGAGGAGCTTTTAAGCGGAAGGTTCCCAGTCGTGGGGCAAGACTGCTAAGCAGCTGTGGGGATGGGGTGGCCTGGCACCGCTCCTCTCCGGCGAGAAGGAGCTGTGCGAGGGGCTCCTATGGGCAATATGCTCTTCTCCCCAGGACAAGCTCTGCAGGGGTTGGAGGAGCAGGATGGCAGCTCTGCCAGCGCATCTTCTCCCGTGTGGGTTTCCTATTCACGGTGGCCACCGGCTGCTCCTGCAGCTTCCTCATGGTTGGGGACTCTGGCTGCTCCTTGCAGCAAAGCTGTACCTCACCACGGGGGGCACCTTCTGCAGACTCCGGAGTGAAACCGAGCCCCTCTCCTGCCCATTTCTTGGTGACTACACTGCTTTTCTTTCCCTCATGTTTGAGGGAAGCCGATGGTAGCTCCCCAAACGCAGCCTGACCCCTTTCCCTCCCGCTCCTGTTCCCAATCCGCGTATGAGTTAATGCTGGGTGGTTTGGCTATGCAAGGTGATAACCTTGGGTGAGAAAAGTTATAGACCCTTATTTATTACTCAGTTTTATAATAGGCAAGTTTTTGTAAAATTCCCTTCACGTTTTAGATGCCCCAGAGCCTCTTCCGAGTTGCGGCTGGCCCTGCCTTAGAGACCTTCCTCACTGCTTTTCTCTGTGTTTTGAAACTGGAGGAGATGAAACCTCCATGAGTTCAGGGATGGCTACGTGGGATGACTATGCAGGGGACAAGCTGGGTTGTGACATGTAATACAGCAGAGGAACATCAGTGAGGCAGTATGTGCCCAGGCTTCAAATTAACAGTATAGGGAACCTGATTATACCATGCTACAGGCAAAACTTTTATTGGAGGATGTGTCCCTACCCATGCACCAAAATAGGAATAGGAAAAGGATGCTACTTTTTGAAGAAGGCTAAGGGGAACCCAGTTATCTATTACTGGTATTCACTAGACCTGTGCCGCCTGATGTGTAGCTGGATGGCATAGCTGCCACTGTGCAAAGCAGTAGGAAGGTACTCCTGGCCTTATAATGGTGGAAACACGCTAGAGCAATTTCTATATCTAAGATCCCATTTTATATTCCTTGTGAGGATTGTCAAAGTTTTGGTGCTGATACTGCTGTTTTACAGCAAGTTGAGGGACTCTCTGGGACCAGTCTTATTTGTGCCTTGTGAATTGTGCTGTGTGGGGCCTTATTTACTTACTTCCATAATTGTTTTTTAACAGATCAGAACAGCAGGCCGATAAAATTTTGCAAATCTAAAGAAGCTTCAGAATTGTTAAAGCTGCTTAAGTTTTTACTGAGCACAAATTAACCAACCCACTTTGACAACATCTCCACTGACATACCCTGATTTTCTAAACCTATTCATTGCATGGTCCAAACACAGCATATATTTGTAACGTAACTGGGAGACTGCCTCAAGTCATGCACTTCTATGGAAAGGGATTCTTTGTCGAGCATGGTATCCACAGGGGCTGAACACACAGCACAAGAGATTCGGGGTCAGCTGGCTAAGAACTGGTGCTATGAAACATTGGCTGAGGCTGGAGGAAGGCTTTGCAGCTGGCAGTCTGGCTACTCAAGGGAGCTGGACTTGCTAGTGCGTTTTCACTGACTGGTGTTCTCATATCGGGTATGCAGAGGACTATTTTAAGCTGGAAGGTGTGGCTGAAACCTGCTCAACATGACAATGCCCAGCACCACCTACCATTGCACACAGACTCAGTGAGTTACAGTAAACGTGAATGATCCTGATCTCCTTCAGTGTTGCTGTCAGTATTACAGAGGAGAAGGCTGGGAGCCAGTGGAGATGTTGGCCTGGAGACCGATCTGTGACTGGGTTTGAGTAGACCTCTCGAGATGCTCTGCACAGAGGACCCACTTGAGCATGTTCGTCTCTCCCAGCAGTGTGCTGCTGTGTGAGAATATGTGGGTATCTTGCACCAAAATCCTAGCTGTCTCTTGATAGCGTGAATAGCTGGGAAGGGTGATGCAGAAGCCTTTCCCCTGGCCTTCAGCAAGCCACCGCTGAGGCCCTGAGGTTTACCTGGTGCCACCTGGAATCCCATGACCTTGCTTGGCCTTTTTCGTAGCAGCAGCCTAAAAATCTTGTCCTTCCTGTACCCTTGGACACCAAGATGTCTTCTCTTTGATCTTTGCCCAGAGGGCTAGGAGGTCCTCGGTACAGGCCCAGCTTAGGCGCAGGAGAAACAAGCCTGACAAAAGGGTTAGTTTAAAAAATATAGTGGGTGTGCCAACTCTTCTGGAGCATGAGAGCGCAAAGATGCAGAGTATGGCTCTTAACAAGCGTTCAGCAAGGAGGCGACATCTGGTTGCTGTTATCCTCGAGCACTGAGGCTCACACAGGTACACAGACCAGTTGCCTGGGGTAGGATGCAAAGCAGGCAGGGCAAGGCTGCCAAAATTTCCCCAAGGACAGCCACAGCTCTTCAAAACCATCTACTTCAATGGGAAATTATTCCCGACTGCAAATAGAACAAAGCCTCCAAAACCACTTACCTGTTACACTGATATGTCACATGGGTTCAGATCTCCTATATTTGGGTATCTCAGTAATAGTAAGTAATAATAGTAATACTGGTAATAAAGGGTTTACACGCATAAAGTCTCAGCAAAGCAGAAGACTATTAATCTCCACGAAAGCATGGCTCTGATGTAGAAAGCTGAGACTGCTTTTGGTGCTAAGTGCTGACTGACGGGAAGACACCTGGAGCTGCAAGGAGAAAAACAAGAAGGAAAAGACGACTGTTTTTGCATTTGATTCCTCCTGAGTCCAGAGGAGCAGGATTTTATGCCTTTTTCATAAATAAGCCATATAACAACTACATAATTGACTCCATCACCAGTTTCATCCCTCAGCGGGAAGAACCTGCGGGTCAGCTATGGCCAACTTCTTTATATTTTAAAGCATTAACATGCTAGACATGTTAGTTAACAGTTCAAGACAATATTAAGAATCCTTTTGTCTTGATATGCTTTATTCATAGCTCAGTGCCATTGTGCTGTCTCCTTTCAGGCATAGGGCTTTAATTTCAGTGTCTGCTCTAACGCACCGGAGTTTTCCATCCAGGAGATCCTGCAGATGCATTGTTCTGATGCTCTTTTCTCAGCCGGCAGGATTTTTCCACTGCCACAGGCTTCCTATCTCTTCCAGCGTTTTCCCCTCTTTCCAAAACATGCAGCTCCTATGCTGTTCTATAGTTGTCGCAAACATTAAGCAAGTGAAGCTTCACTGGACCTTCCTAAACGAGCTCAAGTTTGGTGACCCGGCATGGCTTTCTCCTGAGGTGGGTATTAAGTTTGGCATAAAGACAATTATTAGAGCAGCCATAGAAAATAACTAAAATGTCACGTTGGTCTTCTCTGTGACATGGTCCAAGTCTTGTGCCTAGCAGCCATCAAACAGTGTTGCCTTTGCCCATTAGTCTTCAGTTAAAATACAACCATGGATATGTTTCCATGAGAACCTTTATCTTTTGCCATTTCCAGACTCTGTGGAAAAGAAAGTAAATGGTTGGCATCAGTTACATAAGAAATAGGAAACTTGAATTTTATGTGCAAGTAGAAACTTAAACCAAGCAAACTATTATTTGTATTTTATTTGCTCTATTAAAAAAGTCTAGAATACAAAAATCTTTTTTGCTGAATATAAAAATAGTATTTTCTTTCCAGGTTTCTGTAGGCACACTGGCTTATTGAAAAATGAAGCCCACAAAATGCCTTAATTTATTTTTGCTAAAAAGCACTCTCTAACGAAGATGGGGGAACAAAGGGTGAACGAGCTCCTCTGGTTTCAAGTTTGCTGCTTTGAGTCAATGTTGCATACAAAGCACCAAACAAAAAAATCTAAGGAATGCATACAAAATCCTAAATAACGCAACGCTGAGCTGAAGCACAACGATACCTGCATGAAAGGATTTTAATTTCTAAGAAATTCTTGGAGCTATTTGAGTTCAGGAAGATCTTTGTGCACTCTTTGCTCGCTCTTAGCAATACGCAGTAGCACTTACCTTTTGCCCTCCATTAAAAAAAAAGGTAAAAACACATTTCTTCTTTAACCACAGTTGATGAAGATACAAGCCAAACTGTTGCTTCCCAGGTTCTTTATCAGTGCATCTTTCTCAGCGTTGCATCCTACTGGCATAATTTTGGCAGAGGAGGTCAGTGCACTCCCAAATTGCACACGGTCTATTCCTCCTACGAACTCACATGGAAATGCAGCTGCCCAGCAGCTCTGAAAGCTGGCCTGGTTAGGTATTGAACAGAAATGCGCAGAGCATGAATAGCACAATTATCAGAGAGTTTTAGAAAGATCTGTATTCAAAGTAGAAATAAAAAGGGAAGATTTTGAAATTTTCTGAGGTAAGCATTTTAATAAATTAGAACTTTAGTTTCATTTCAATTTAGGCTTTTATTTTATTGTACAATGCAAAATATAAAATACATTAGGACTAATATAAAAGCTTTTTTCCCAGCATAATTTCCACTGTTTTTTCCCCTCAAAAACATATTTTAGCAAATATGATTTTATGAAGCACTTTTTCTTCACTAGAACTCTACTCTCTGATAGAAAATGAGACAGTTGATTTTTTTAAAGTAGAAATTGTATAGCCTTTCTACAATTTTCACCTTTAAAATGTTATAGCTATATTTACATCCTCCTTTTTTGTACAAAAAATGCAACTTTATTTTGTACAATAAATCCCAGTGTAAGTGTCCACACATGTTAAACCATCTAACTTTGGTTCAGTCTAGGCTGAATGGGTAAGTTACGTTTTTTCATGTATTTGTGCACTTATAAGAGTTCTGAAATAAATAACGGCGGTGATGGGAAAGAAAGGACCAGTGAAATGACAAGTGTGCAAAATCACCTCTGCAGCGACATTGAAGAGGGAAGGTTGACTCATTACGTCTCACACAAAAAGAACTGGAAGGCACGAAGAAATGATCAGACGTGTAAAATGAGAAAAGAAAGGAAGAAGTTCTTCCACACAAAGAATAATTAAACTAAATTCATTGTGAAAAGACACTGTGGAGCCGTGGAGGATAAACAGGTTAAAAATGGATTAAATAGATTCATGGAGGATAGGTCTGGTCAGTGGCCATTACACGCTGTGGTCTGAAGGCAACTCTCTGGTCAGGAGCTCCCTAAACCCCAAAGTGGGGGAAGCTGGAGGACGTGCCAGTGAAAACAGTTATTTCTCACACTCTTCCCGAAGCCTTTGGTACTGGCTGCTGTTAGAGGTAACATAGTTGCTCAGCATCTCTGAAAAATTCAGCCAGATCACATAGATGTCCAATTCTCTAAACCACAGTACGGAAATACGGTCCTATATGCAGAAGTCTGGGTGCACACACCTAACTATATATGCGAGAATCTAGATATACATTCGGCTTAAAAAGGCTGGCTTCAGAAGTCCGGAAATTAAATGGTAAGATTATTAATAATCTGTTCAATCTAAACTATAAAGCATGTTGTGCAACAGGACTGAACAAATATCGCTGTGAGAAATATTTCTCCCTTGTCTGAGTAATTTAAATTTGTAAGCTAATGTAAGTTTTTGTATTATATAATGTACTGTGTGCAATTTTCTGTCTTGTAAAGCACTTTGAAGCTTTCAAAGGGCACTCTAGGTTAATAAATAATACGGTCTCCCTTGCCAGAACTGTAGGGCATTTCCCATAAGTTCTGAATCTTCTTTGCCAGGGTTGCAACATGTTGCATGCCAAATCCTGCACACAAATGTTCTACATGTGGCAAATACGTTATCAGTAAAGACCAGAGGCACGGAATTCCTGGCTTTCTTAGGAAGCGCGCGGGAAGGGAAAGAAGTGGGAGGGAATAATGAGGGAGGGCAGGGAAGAAATTTATGTCTGTGCGTATGTCTTAAAAAAAAAGAACCTTCACTTTCAAAGACTAAGGCTAAACTCCTTGCTGTATGCAGAACAAACTGGTAGGTACACAGGGCTGGGTCTTTCGTTTTCCTTCAGTTATGGAAATTGGGCCTCCATTTTTGTGATGGCTTTAACTTCTTCCAAGCCAGGTGTTTGTAAGGGTGAAAACACCTGCAATCCTTGCTTCTCCAGGCACGTGATAATGTAAACAGAGGGAGGGCGAACTTGGAGAAGCATGGTCAGGACTACTATTATTTACTGGGCTGTGAAAATTACTCTTCTCTAGGCAAAGTAGCGCATGCATTTCATATGCCCTAGGCTACTGGGAATGAACCAAGACCAGTATTTATAAGGAGCGAACACTCACCCTTTTTGCAGTCTCCCACACGGACAACTAGGTTCCTATTTCTGTAGCTTGGAAGAGGGGGAGTGAAAAGCTTTAAGACCCAGAAATTTAAGTCAGTGCATTTGGCTGCATACCATGTAGGTTACGTTACTGAAGGATATTAGGAGTTTAAAATGACTTTGGTTTTAATTTTCTTGTTAATCTCTTTATGCATTAACCACAAACAAATAATTTCAACATTCCTCACTAGTTTAGACTGAACTTCTACAGTAATTCAAAAATTTTAAGCTCTCTGCCCTTCACTAAATTTTAAGTAAATGGTGACAAAAATTCTTAATTAACCAGAGACAATTAACCAGTTTAAAAGGCACTAAAACTACTTACAGCTAACTGAGCCTTAAGCACTGAGATTTGCCACTGTTTTAAAAACAGAGCAGTTAAAACTGAACTCCACGTTCTGCAATACTAAATGACCGTTTTACTACATGTTTTTTTTTGATGTGACAAGAAATGACTGAAAAAGCTTTGTTGTTGTCAGAGTTAGATTGCTTAGAAAAAAATATTCTGTGGGTTACCATTTGTTGCCATGATTTACAAAGGTAAGGCCTATAGTCTGTATCAGTTTCATGTGGAAGTTTTAAAGAAAAAGAGCCTTCTGCAGAGTTTGTAGATTTCTGCATGATTGTTTGTGTTGTTGCAAACAGGGCTAAGTGATATTCTCTTACAAGCTTTTCAAGAAATTCAGCACATTTCTTCAGATTCTTCTCCTGTGAGTTAAAACTCTCCCCTCCGTTGCTTCTGTCTATCCAGTAAAAAGCCGATATGCTGTCTATAACCAAAAGGCAGAGAGAGGGGTGAGTGCAAAACATGTTTTCTAAAGAGTAAAGAGTAAGGATTAAGTGGGTGCTACTATTACAGTTAACAAGAAAAAGCTTTTCCAGGCACTGTTTTATCATTTCTTCTGTGCTCTGTGCCAGTCTGTGTTCAAGAATGGTAACTAGACGAAGCATATCAAAATGGTAGTCTGTATCGATGAACATTACTTCCACTTCCAGTCCTCCTCCTGACTTTGGAAGGATGCAGCGGGCTATGAGGTGATAAAGCATTTCTGTTTTTCCTGTTCCTTCCGGACCATGGAATTCAATGACATCTCCTGTTCAAAAACAAAGCAGCAAGCTGTCAGGTAAGAGCATCTATAGCTCAGAGAGAATTATCACTGTTCACCGAACCAATTTTCAAAGGTGCTGCATACTTGCAACTCATTTATTTCACTGGGAAGTGCAAGTGCCCATTACTTCTGAAAGTTAGGCTTGAGAACTATTTAGAGACCCCACAACGTCCATCTTTTAGTTCCAGTTAAACTAGATTATTGCATCTTCATTATAATCCCTAACAGGGGACTACTTTCCCACGTTTAGCTTTGGGAGCCCTGCAGCTTCTTAATGCTTTGGCAAGTAGAACAAAAATGGAATTCTCCTCCCTCCTTGTCCCTCCTAAGACAGCCCCCCCAAAAGCAGGGAACATGAAACAGAAGTCCAGCTGTTTTAAGGGTAACCAGTCATAATTCCACTTGTTTTACCATATTGTTACCACTAATTGGAAAATGCATTTTGAAGCCTTGCACAGCCATAAAAATTGTTTAAATCCTGGTTAGCATCTACCAAGAGAAATTTCAATTTTCAAGAAAGGCCTCTAAAGTGAAGAAAATCAACTGTGAACAAAGATTAAAGAAAAAGATACCAATAGTATCTAAGACATTAATATCAACAGAAGGTTGGCAACTGGATTACATGACCTGATTATTATAATTACATGATTACATTACATATTGTTACAGGTAGATGAAGGCTGAAGAGGAAGCTGCTACACAAAGGACTGGCTAAGACATCATATGTTTACACTATAGACATAAAAATAAGAAATAAAGGAGGAGGAGACAGAAGAAATAAAAAAAAAGACATGTTAGAGGTACCAATTATGGCGACACATCTATTTTTGTAGCATGGCCTGGCCTTTAGCATTTCATGTCTGCTCTGTGCTTGTTCAATATCTGTGCATGTCACAAGACACCAGCAACAGTCTGCAACCAGTAAAGAGAATGTCAGTATATTTATTTAGCACTTATATTCTGTGGTGATCATAATATGAAGTTACTTCTTTTGACAAGGGGGAAATCACAGATCCCTTTAACTCCAAGCAACCATTTTGTTGTCTGAAAGAGAAGTTCTCTTTTCATAAATGGGCTCAACCTAACTGCTTGATCATTGTGTGTCCATAAAATAGGTATCATATAAATTTAAAACATTAATAAAAAAGCGTAACCCATTTCTAGGGAACCGGTTATTTTGTCAGATGTGAATGCAAGATAATCTGAAGACTTCTCCAAAGGCTTCCTGTGTCTTGTATCAGAGCAAGACTTTTTAAAAAAGTTATTTATTAGTTCCTCTTTATAAATTTCTAACTTAGGAAACTGGATTACTCACTTATGACATTTTGGGTTTTACGCAGAAGGGTAAAGGCACATGCAATAAGGTGGACGGCTTCTCTCTAGCTGAAGGAGAATCACACGGCTGTAATCACAGGAAGGTGAAAGATTTCTATGGCCTTGGCAAGTGTAAATGGCCTAACACCTTTCCACAGGAGGGATGCAAGAAGAGAGAATCAATTGCAACTTTACTTAAACAAGTTTGTGCCTGCCTGAGTTAACAGGGTTCTTCAAGTCATTACCCAACTTCCAGAGGATGTTGTTTGTTCATAGGCGCACATAATGTCAAGAAGCAGCTTGGGATGAAGAGCGATGGGGAAAAGACTACGTTCTTTCTTCACGCATTGCAAGCATCAAAAGCAATTTACACCTGATGTAACAATTTTATCCATTTCAGGGGCACACAGACTGCTTGCCTCTCTGTAATGAAGTTCTTCAGTTCTCCAGAACTGTAATCCCATTTTCCTGAACATTCGATACTTCAAAATTTATTAAAACAAACAAACAAAAAAATCTTTCATTGCCTCCTAAACCCTTCCTTATCTGTGCTGAATGGCCCTCCCCACTTTTGAGATGAAGGATGCCTGCACTTCATATTACATAAATTTTTGTCTTCTCCTCCTGTTCAGAGGCGGCAATATCCAGCTCTGCTGCTTGCAGCCAGCTGCTGTTCTGCTGTGTCACATACACAGTGCTGGTGATACAACAGAGCCCTGCTAAGATACGACACCAGCTTGGAGAAGTCCTTTGAAATATGCTGGGTAGGTCATTCCCTCTCTCCTACTGCAAAATCTATCAAAATATTTGAGAACAATTGTGTAAGGCCCTTCTCACAAAAGAACAAAGTGTATGTTCTCTCTGCCACTGGCTCCTGTGCACAGCTTTTCCACCCTGACTGGCATTTTCGAATCCAGATCAATGACTCGACTGGGCAAATACACAACATGGGTTGTTACAACTACCTTTGCAGCAAAATGTGACTTGTTAAAAAATAACCTAGCAACTCCGTATGCCCATTCACAAGCAGCAGTGGGCAGATCTGAGTCAGTGATCAGTAGTGATTTTAAAAAAATAAATTATTCTGTGAAGTGCATGCTTGACTTCATCAATTTAAAAGAGGTTTTTTCAGGAAGCCTGTGCGCTACATCCTATAAAACTTTACATATGGGAGCTGTAACTCACAGAAGAACACTGGAGGAGGTTTTATTGCCAGAATTAACATAAATTCATTTAAGTAAAAAATGATAAGTTGAATGAAAAAAGTCATTCTTAAAGAGTTTTTATGGTGGTGGTTTACAAATTTTACCAGCAAGACAGCTGAACAGCTTTCAAAGTTTGTTCAATGTTGCTGATCAAGATATACAACCAGGTTGGAGTTTGACTAAAACACTTCAGTTACGCTGCTACTCCGAACAGTTTGAGCTGTAAGAAAACCTCAAGGGAGCAGGGGATTTCTGCGCCTTCATGATTATCAAAGAGGTTGCCCACAAGAAGAACTGGGACAAAACAGAAGCCATTTATAGCAACATCTATAAATGTAGGGTTTCATTTAGTTAGGAATTGGCTGTTACAGCAAGATAAAGAGGAGAAATTCATCCTTCTGGACCAGAGCAGACAAATCATGACACAGCAGAGGAAGAAGTGTGGCTAACAATGCTGTCAAAAAGCCTTTGACACTTTCTGACAAGAGGCCATGGAAGAAACTAAGTGATCAGTACCAGCATCATCCTACTCTTGTATTTTCATCTGTAAACGTCAAAACAGTTTAAAAGAAGGATAAGTAAAGAGACGCTCTCACAGGATGGAAACAGTCTGGGAGTCAGGATAGGAATGGTCACTTTAACATGGAAGAAAGTTAAAGGGGAGTTTTCCTCTACGAATTGGTGTTGCCTGACATGAATAATACCAGTAGGAGAACGGTCCATTAGCTTGGCAAAATGCATAAAAGACTAACTAGGTTAACAGAGACTTCAGACTGTGACGACTTGACAGACCAAGATGGAAGAACAGAAAGATTTCACATGAAATTCAGCATTGACAAATTTTAGTAGTACATTTTAAGGAGTAACTTTGTCTATGGCAACACACTACTTGGCTCACAGCAGCTTCAACTGCACACAAAAATGAGCTCACCCGCTGTGAGCAGACTAAAGAGAACAAGAGGATAAACTAAATAATGCTGCATAAACTTCAATATTAATAAATGCGTTTTCAACTGAAACATTTTGCTTAGTCCTGGTTATAAACTCAGTGTTATCTTTGAATTAGTAGAGTCTAAGTTTTGTTGGTAATCATTACATTAGCAAATGTTAGCAAAATCACTTTCTGACATTGCAGTTATAAACAGGCTATTAGAATGCTTGGCAACAGCTCTGCGGATTTCACACCATCAGATACCATGCAGTTACTGGGACAGTAACTGACAATACTGTGCCGAAGCTGTCACTGGTATTTCTACCATTTTTAAGTGGGGTAGAAGGGCAAAGTGTTTATTCCAAATTAATTTGGGGTGTCATACTACAGCTGAACATCAGAGCTTTATACTGACACCCACACCTTCATACCAGTGGCATAAGGAGAAATATGACTGGCAACAGTGGAAAATTATTAAAAGCTCTTGTCACTTTTGCTCTGTTCCAGAAGAGCTTAAATGGTGTGTAATTAACATGCCTATGTGTTCTTAAACATACAATTCCATCATAATTAGAAGCGGTGACTGGAATATCACAGCAGTAACTATATTGGCTGTTCCTACTTTATAGTACTCTGACATACACATTATGATGCAACCTTTATATAGTTTACTGAAACTTTATATAGACATATGTTGCTTTGTTTGAAATACTGCCAGGAAGAAGGAGAATTCAAGTTTTTGCACTGTTTTAATCATATACCATTTTACATTACGAGCTGTTTATTATGGACTTCATAGACAATATATTACAACGTTCCAGAGCCACGTACTAAAAAACAAGTTTATGGCAAGTGGAAAGACAGACCTTCAACAGGGATTTAAGACTGAATAACGAGAAAAAAACATTGAAATAATGCATAGACTCACATATATAGATGCAATGTGTATGGCCAAAAACTATTGGTATTAAAAGACAATGCAAAAATATAAGAAAAGGTGAAGTCCGTTGATGCATATAAAGTTAAAAATTGGTGCTAGTATCTTACGCAACCCCGTGAGTGTCAGCCAAAAAGCATGGCCAATACAGATAATGACTGATGCCATTTGTTAAAAGCAAAAGAGAAACTGAAGTGCTTTATAAGCTCAATAATAACATTGGCATAGTGAAGAACTAGCAGTGAATTTACAAGGTTTCCAGCCATCTCAGAACTGAGGTTCTGGAACAGTCATTGGACAGAAACAAACAATTTAGATAGCTTAAAGATCAAATTAGTAACATTATGAATGTAATCATATAACCCCACTGACTGTGACAGCAAGGGCAGTTCGTGACCACCAGGAAGGCTTCTTATAGTCTGTCCTAGGAGGATACGCCTAGTTCAGTCTCAACTGTTTGTTTCTTGTGTGTAAAGCTCAAAAAAACAGCCCCAAAAATCAGCATTTTCTGTTAGTGTTATTTTATTTTTTCAAGAGAAAAATATCTTGTCTTTAAAAAAAATCGTTGAGACTTCAGAAACTTTTTTTTTTATTTTTTTACAGCATATCCCAATTTCACTGCTGGTTCTCAATTTTTGTGGGGTAACAAAACAGTTCAGAACTGAGGACTTGAATAACCTTCTCTGCTCTGCTCACACAGTCTTACCAACATTTCTCTGCCCTTTATCTTTGTTACATCATATTTAAAATGTCTGGGGGCAGGAAACGTATATTGCTAAAACCCTAATATATTCCCAAGTGCTGCAAAATAATACATGAATAGTCTTGCAATGACTACATTTTTAACATCATCTCTCACCCAGTTATCTTGATTCTTTTTATTGCCTTTTCTGCTATTTCTTCTGGTCCTTCTATAATTTGTGGGAATTCAAATTGCAGACAAATATGTTAATAACCACTGCAGCCACATACTTTTCATATAAAATCCATTCATATACATATTCAACAACTGTGGTATCTCACAACATGATCCTTTAATTTTGCCATTCATGCATCTTTTTTACTATGTATTTCTAGGTTTGTGTACACATGCACTGTAGTCTCTTCTATTGTGAAATCTGTGGAATTTCAGATAATATGAAAAACCAGTCTGACTTCTTGAATAATCAAGAAATTACTAAATGAGTTAGTTTCTGTTTAAGCTCAGTAATTTCTTTCATTAAAATATCCAATCTTGATTTAAAAACGTCCAGTAATAGAGAACCTACCATAAATCTACCTTAAACTTATTGAACCCGTGTCAAACAGAGGTAGCCCAATTCCTCTACTTTCACTTGAAATTCTTATTTATTCACTTAAGGAATAAGACATTTTGTTCCTAACATCCTCCATGAACTCATTCAGCTGATTAGTATCTATGTTCATTACAGAATTGTTTCCAAAGTTTCATCATCTAATAATTATAATCAGCATTTTTGGGGCCAAGATGTATGGCTTGATGACTTAGCTTTATTAAAAAATACTGTTTGCTCATGCCCATTTCACTAACTGTGATCCAGACCATTCCATAACACTGAGCTCTTTGATATTTATTGAACCTCAAGTTCTCTGCAAATTTTTGCAGTGATGATTTCGTGAGGTTTTTAGACCACCGATAAAAACGTTACATGACAGAATCAGAATGAATTTCTGTAAAACACTACTAGAAACATACCAGCATGTCTGTTATTTTCTGCAACTGTGAATTAGATATTTTTAATCCATTTAATAACGTTCACATGTTGATTCTGTATTGTTCCATTTTATCTAGTTTGCCTAAAATGCAAGTGAATTACATCAACACTTAAAATTCTGAATACAGGGCAAAAAAATCTATTTGTATTCTCAGAGCAACGTGATAGAGATAGGCATACTTCTACACTGACATTTTTCCATAAATAAGATAAAGATACATTTTTACCATGAACGGGAAATCCTTCCTCAGCAAATAGATAAGGTTCGAGATTTTTCAGAGAACTTCTGCCCTCAAGTCGTGCAAGTAGCTTTTAAGGAAAAGAAAAAAGAGACATACTGTTACCTAAAAATAATTGAGCTTTGGAATCAAATTAAAAAGATATAGACAGAACCGGAGAACTGGAGGTTTTCAGTGACAGCCCTATCAAAAGATTGGCTTGATTTTCAATTGCTTTCATAAATACATACGCAAACCCATAGTCTGGAGTATATGAACAGAAGTTTCTATCCTCAGAAGCAGTTAACATACAGATTCCATGGCAATAAGGAGCTGATATACCTTAGGAAAAATAAAGCTAAAAAATGTACAGGTAGACTAGCAAGAGGGAATGCCTCTGAAATACAGCAGTGCTGCCATTTTACAGAACAAAGGGAAGGGAAAGAAGATCATTTGCAACAGCCATCGCTGCCACAACACACACTAGTTGAGAGGTGGCAGGCTGTATTACCCATTATTAGTCTCCTGAGTCAGTCTCTCAGCTCTTTTATAAGCAAAAACCTGTATATATACAGGTCTGTCATGGACTACCAATCCTATTATATCATAGTTACTTGCTCAAATATATCATGGATTAATAGTACTTAGTATACAGTGGCTCTTCAAGAACCTTTTTAAAGCAAGTCCATATATAAATATATATATACACACACATATATACAAATACATACATATATATATATAGAGAGAGAGAGAGAGAGCAAGTTAGCATTTGTAAACGATGTTATTCCAAAACCCGTTGTAAAGCAGATCCAGAGTTCTTGGACAGTTTTTTAAATTGACAGGTATTTGCATAACAAGTAAACAGGTATTCACACAGCCTGTGTTATTTGTAGCTTTGACATAAACTCATAATCCAGAAATGAACATCCCACCCAGTGCTGGAGATGTTATTCCGCACATTTATTAAAAGACATGGAAAAGGACACTATCAGGATGCTCAAAGGCCTGCCTGCATGCATCCTGATGCCAAATATTCCAATCTCCAAGACACCCAGCTGTCATTTAAAGATTTAAACAAAATAAAAAATCCCGTTGAGCTTTCTCTCCATCCTCCTTATGGCCTGTCATCAAATGAGCAGTGAGCACAAAACTCTCAGCATACACTGCCTTATCTTGCTTTCCTCCCTGCCATATTGATGAGCAACACGTGCTCTGAATTCTTAAAAGTTGTTTGAACAGTTGTGTGTTTGCCTTTAATAGTAGAATAAAACTCCATTAAATGACGCTGAATTTATTTCAAGTGGTCATGAAGTGTGACATTTTCATTGACATTTTAGCATTTCCTTCCATTAACAAAACGCCAATGTGTTTGCCTTTGTTTGCCTCTTCAGACATGTTCAAAAGAGTTTTCCAATGTGTCCGCTAAAGGATCATCAAAATGACCTTGAATTGACTTTGCTCTGGATCTGCGGAGCCTCCTGTTATGCTTCATACATTTGTGCAATGCATAAAACACACAGTGAACTCTTATTTTGGGACAAAGCAGAGTTTTGTGACCTGGGCAAAGCAAAAAACAGACGTATGTATGCAGACAAGAACATAGTGATATATCCCATTTTGGGGCGCACACGCTAGCAGCCCGCACCAACCAAGGGGTCTGCCAAAGGTAGCTCCCACGCGCAGGGTGCGCCACCGTGGAGGGGAAGCTCCCCCTGCGGTTTGCGCCCGCCGGGCAGAAGGGCCGGAAATCTCTCACCCGCTTGTCAGGCAGTGGAAGTTAAGAGGAACAGGAAAACCGCCACGGGCTGCTGGTTTCTGATGCCCTTCATTTCTTAGCGATAGGAAGCGCTGCTCGGAGGTCACGGCGGCTTGGCTAGAGGCACCGCTGGGGCCGGGGGCTGCCAGCTCAGCGGGGCAGGCTGCAAACTTCAGGCGTCAAGACGTGGTCTGGGCACATTTGTGCAGGCCGGCCACTGAAGCCTTGTAGCTTCCTGCTCCCCCATTTATTTTTACATTAGCAAATACATTCTCTACGCAGCTTATTTTAAGGAAACTAGGGAGTCTTTCCCTCTTAGATTATAACTCTTCCAGCGTACTGCCAGACCCTTGAATTAGTAGATTGATTGTTATAGTTTAAATATGAATCTGTGGTTACTTAAATGACAAGTTTATGCATTCATTTTAAATAACTACAGGTTCTCACTTCAAGCAGTGCTCATGTAGGTAATTTATGGTAATTCGCTGATGATAGTGCACCTGTGTTTTTATCAAACTTGTATTTACTTCCGAGTTCTGAAACAGAGTCTCCAAAGGCACTTGCCTCATTAGTGTCATGCTGTGAGCAATGGGGTTTCCTGGCAGAAACAACTCACAATTTTGCTTGAAATGCAAGAAAGGTTTGTCCACCCTACAACAAAGGAGACTGAAGCAAAGCTGCATTTAGGTAAGATATAAGTCAGGAATTCTTCAGCTCAGTAGACATTAAAAATAGTGCCAACACGCGTTTTTCAAATAAGCAAAGGCTATTTAGTATCTTGGCTCTGTTCCAAGGAAAGCATTTCCATTTTACTTTTTTACGTTTTCTTCTGTAAAAGGGGGGAGGGGAAATCTATGGCAATTAAAGGGGTAATATCAATGGTGGAAAACAGATGCCGTATGTTTTGGGGCGGATGGCTCACAGAACACAAACACAGCACTACTGAAGGAAGCCTTTGAATGGGAAGAACTTGGAAAAATACAATTTCAAATCATATATTGGAGACTTTGATTCTGCAATTTTAACTGAAGGTGCTCATTTCTTCCTTCATAATGCTCTCTTTTTCTATATGAAATATTGCCTTTTAGCAACCTTCTAGTGATAGGTCTCCATTCTTACTATGGGCTCTTGAAAAGTCTAAGTATATCAGCAAGAAACTTCTGAATAACTGCACATATGTGGACAGTTACATGTAGAAAGTAAGATAACGTGCAGTAACCAGGTTAAACTTCACTAATGATAACAAAGCTGACGAAACTCAAAACTATTTCTACCATGTCTTTTTAAACTTATCGATTCCATCTTCTTAATAAGGAATTATGCATACAGGCAGTCCCACTGACTAATGTATTATGCTTATGCTATATTGGTTTCAACAGAGCAAAGCAAAAATGCAGGCATACATGTAGGTCTTGTCAGAAATGAGATATTACTTCATTAAAATGTTAAAGAAATTCAAATTAAATACTGAAACTATGTTAGAGGCTGTGAGCTAACCTACAGGCTATTTACAAATATAAACATAACTCAAGTACGAGACAAAACTTAATTTTCAACCACTACAACCGCTCTGACTGAGCTTTTGTAAACTTTGGGCACGAAGACATATGCTAGTAATTTATCACTTATTTTACTGTGACATTCCAAAGGTGTTGTGTGAAAAGTTCTAATTTGTTGCGTTAATTACACTCAAGGATAAAGGTACAAGGCCGCAGTCTCAGTACAACCCGCACTAAAACCAGATTTTACGTGAGGCCATTTGAGGGGATAACATTTTAAACTAAGTATTTTCTGTTTCAAGGACTTTTAAAGCTTTCTGTACTACATATTGATATGTTCTTGATTCTTTCTTAGCTTTATCAATTCTTCCATCCATCAGGCCTGGTAACCTGTCCCACCACAGGCAGGTGGTACCACGCTGATTCCCGGCTGGTGCTGCTTGTACACCTACCCGCTCGAGCACGTAGCCAAACCTGTGCCCTTCAGTTGTGCGCGTGCTTGCTGACACCAGACAGCTATTATTATTGTTATTTTAAGTGTCAAAAAGGTTTAAGAAGGTGGGATTTGAATAAGTATTGATTTATCAGGCGTTTTTCTATGCTGCTACGTGCACTACTCGGCATATTCTGATACAGCAACACACGGCTCTCCAAGTAATTAACTTCCTGATTAGAAGCAGAAGTAACGAACAGGTAAACCATTCAGGAGGGGGAGGAGGAAAAAAAGGCGGGGGAGAGGGAGCTCAAACTCCTCTTCCCCAAAGGAGAGAGGCAATTTTAACTTTCATACTACTTATTCAAACCAACCCTTCCGCATTCAACACCTCTGCTTGCTTACACCTTCTGCCTCAACGTTTTAAGTGAGGAAAAGGCGTACAAGGGTAACGCTGTGACGCCTCGGACACCTGCCCCCGCTCAAGGGGCCGTTGCCCCACCGCTGTGACAGGCAGCGTCGCTCCCGAGCGGCGGCCCGGGGTACCCGGGC